TTTATTTTTTATTTTTTTTAAGTTAAAGGTAATTTTGGATGAGAATAGGTGAATGTGACTATTTAACTCGTTAATTTATATAATCAACTTAAATAATCTATATATAGTATATTTTTAATTAAAAATTACACATTTAATTCATGCAATTCAATTAATTTATAATTTAGTTGTTATGTCAGTATTATATTGATTATAATTTTTTTGAGGACCTCTTTATAGCATGGTATGAATTTTCTTAAAATCTATAGATATGAAATAATTATAATGTGAACATGTTTTAAAAATTTTATAAAGATTGGGTCATGATTCATGTGATTCAATTAGTGACCCTAGTTTGATTCCTACGTATTGACTCAATACCTTAACTAGTTTGATAAGCTTTTTCTTCATATAATCTTCTCTCTTATCTAGAGGTAGGATAGTTCTTCTCATTTGAAGAATTTATATTTATTAACCTTACATCCTTACATTGTGAGATTAAATAAATATCTAAAATAATTAAAATATAGTTAATTTTAAACATCATCATAATGAGAGAAAATATGTTTGTATATATAAACAATATTTCAAATATTAGAAATTAAAAATTTAAATTGTAATCAAACAGGAAAAAACATTTTCAAGTAGTTCGCATAACTTAGTTAAAATATATCACACTATTAATGTAAATAAGATTTTTAAAATGTTAGTTTTTATATTATAATTTATTATAAAAATTTTGCATCTATAATTATAACTACAATTTATTTTGAGCATAGACATAGCTATGAGCTAAAATATTTTATTTCCTCGATTTTATTGACCGGCAAATATTGGTTTTTGGTTTTTCAGTTGCGTGAAAGAAAATAGAACAAAAAATGGGATAGAATACAATATTACAATTTGTACACAACATTAAATCTTTAGAAAATCTTTACGACGTATCGGGCCAATCTTTTGTTTCAATATATGAACCAAATCATTTATTGTAGGGAAATAAAGTGCACGAAATCTTTCTTCATTGAATCCTAGTAGTTGTTGATCTATCATGGCTTGTATGCAATATCCACATAGAAGATTTCAATTTCATAATAAATCTTGTACACCTACGATATCTATTTCAATAAGAAGGCATTAAAAGAAGTGTGCAGCATAAATTAAGATCACTCAATTAATGTGTTCATTGCAATGTTTCTTAGTTCCATTAAATATGAATCTTAGTTGGGCATTTATCACAGCATATACTAGCATCTCAGTCTCATTGGTTCGTCAAGGACAATTAGTTAATCTGAATTATGTAGGATATGAATTCGAAACTCTATTA